ACTCTTTGTAGAAACAGAGATATATCAAATTAATAGTTAAATTACTCTTAGTAGAAACAGAGATATAACAAATTAATAGTTAAATTACTCGTTGTAGAAACAGAGATATAACAAATTAATAGTTAAATTACTCTTTATAGAAACAGAGAGCTTGCTGCTATCGGGAGTTATAGATGACGTGAAAGCCGACAGTTTACTGGTGCTAATCCCAATATGGTAAGTACAGTAAATTAAGATATTCTAATAATTTTCATACTAAATTGAGTTACAATCTTGTCTAAAATTGACACTAGGGTAGAATTCAGTTATTGTTTAGTGTGGGTTATACATTACATATCACTCAGAGCGTTTTCCACAGTTTTTGGCTTGAAGTATTGTTATACAATCCAATGTAAACTACCCACTTTCTAGAATAAAACGATACATACTGTGCTTCATGAAAATACTTAAAGGAAAATAAGTTTCTGACAATGAAGTAACTCTTACGTTGAACAAAGATTTCAACTATTTTCCACATATATTTAGGTTTAATTTAATAAGAAACATTACCTCTTTCCCAAACTATATGTTTTATAGGATAGCCAGCCACTGGACACTGCAATATCAATGTCTCTCCTTCAACCACTGTGACGTTGTTCATTGGACGGACATAGGGTGGTCCATACACATTCACCTTAGCCACGTGACTCACTGATCCAATACCATTGCTGGCAACACACTCGTAAAAGCCCCCGTCTCGCGTTTGGATTCTACTGATATTCAGGAATGCTATAAGTTTACCATTTCCATTTTCTATCTTCCCTGTGTGGAAATGGCGAACTTCGGGGAGTGGTAGTTTGTCGATTAACCACGTCACTTCCGGTAGTGGATGTCCAGAAACTATGCAGTTAAGTGACAACGATGCTCCAGCGTCTAGCGTTGTTTCGGGAAATCCGTGGTGGAGTTCAGGTGGTACATCTAAAAATATTAAAATTCCAGTGGCACTATATTAATTCAATCAATTCGGATGTTTATCGTTTTCTTGTTAAATCATATTTTATATAGAAACAAGACATTCGTGAAGAGTAATAGAGTGCTTTCAACTATCGCTCTGGAAGCCTAATCGAAAAATCTTGAAATAGAATTTAAATGAAATGTAGGAGGGACAAATGCTCAATATTTCAATCACTTGTAAACAAGTAAAAGTTTGTTAAAATGTAATATTTCAAACTCCAAAACAAAACTCGTGTTTAGAAGTGACGTCATAGTTTAACTAGGCCTATTTTAACTTAGTGGACTTACCCCCAACTATAAGTTGTGCTGCAGCCTGGATGTTGTTACCATGGCTATATACGAAGCACTGGTACATTCCCTGGTCAGCCCTGGTGACAGCTTGGATGTGGAGAACATTTCGTGAACGGAAGTGAATCCGTCCGTCGAAAACTACAGACTGGAAGTTTTTCATCCACACTATGGAATCAATAGGATGACCGGAAACAACACACGTCAGGGTTGTGGTTCCTCCAGTTAACATAACCAAGGAGTGGGGCTCAATGTTTGCCTTCAGTGGAGCTATCAGAGAAAATAGTTTCTAATTAAAATTATAATATCTTGAAAATTTAAAGTTTGTTTTAGGAAAGAGGAGTTTGTAATTACAATGGTATTTAAGGCACCTTTAGAAGCCATTAGGTTAAAAGTTGTTTTGTAATACCAATGGTATTTAAGGCACCTTTAGAAGACATTAGGTAAAAGAAGTTTTGTAATACCAATGGTATTTAAGGCACCTTTAGAAGCCATTAGGTTAAAAGTTGTTTTGTAATACCAATGGTATTTAAGGCACCTTTAGAAGACATTAGGTAAAAGAAGTTTTGTAATACCAATGGTATTTAAGGCACCTTTAGAAGCCATTAGGTTAAAATTTGTTTTGTAATACCAATGGTATTTAAGGCACCTTTAGAAGCCATTAGGTAAGAAAAGTTTTGTAATACCAATGATATTTAAGGCACCTTTAGAAGCCATTAGGTAAGAGAAGTTTTGTAATACCAATGGTATTTAATGCACCTTTAGAAGCCATTAGGTTAAAATTTGTTTTGTAATACCTATGGTATTTGAGGCCCCTTTAAAAGCCATTAGGTAAGAGAAGTTTTGTAATACCAATGGTATTTAAGGCACATTTAGAAGCCATTAGGTTAAAATTTGTTTTGTAATACCAATGGTATTTAATGCACCTTTAGAAGCCATTAGGTTAAAATTTGTTTTGTAATACCTATGGTATTTGAGGCCCCTTTAAAAGCCATTAGGTAAGAGAAGTTTTGTAATACCAATGGTATTTAAGGCACATTTAGAAGCCATTAGGTTAAAATTTGTTTAGTAATACCAATGGTATTTAAGGCACCTTTAAAAGCCATTAGATTTCGAACTATCGAAAACATACTAAGACAATAAAATCCTACATTTTGGATATTTTAAAACAAGGAGAGTTCAGTTTTATCGTGATACACAGAGTAAGGTTAAACAACTCGATGGTTCCTTTCTTCTGAAACAAAAGTTTGCTCTCCACTGGCTCAGCGGTACATTTCACAACATATAAAAGTTAAAGTCGGGGTTTGATACCACCGATGGGCACATTGTGTGGCTTTGCGTTTAGGAATAAAACAAAAAAAACTGAAAAATTTATGTTGAAATAATACAATGTCAAGCGAAACGCTGATAAGTTGATCTAAAATAAAGAGTTTAGCTAACTAAATTCTTCTCAAAGTATTCGGTAAGTTGAGTAATACACTTCCCCCTCTTGTATTTAACTCCTTATAGCTTATTTGTTGTACGTATATTTGTGTTTCTATTTCCTTTGTGTCACGTTTTCTTTTATACTTTTATCTCTTGTTGTCAAATAAGCAGCGTGATGGAGTACAACAAGCTAGAAATTGAATGATATTGAATATCGTTATGAAGTATTGCTGTTGAATAGCTTTATGAAGTATTGTTACTGAATAACATTATAAACTATTGTTACTGAATAACGCTATAAAGTATTGTTGCTGAGTAACGTTATAAAGTATTGTTGCTGAATAACTGTATGAAGTATTGTTGCTGAATAACGTTATAAAGTATTGTTACTGAATAACGTTATGAACTATTGTTGCTGAATAACGTTATCACGTAATGTTGCTGAATAAAGTTATAAAGTATTGTTGCTGAATAACGTTATCACGTAATGTTGCTGAATAAAGTTATAAAGTATTGTTGCTGAATAACGTTATCATGTAATGTTGCTGAATAACGCTATAAAGTATTGTTGCTGAATAACGTTATAAAGTATTGTTGCTGACTAACGTTATAAAGTATTGTTGCTGAATAACGTATAAACTATTGTTGCTGACTAACGTGAAGTAAAGAGCTTAACATTGTGCGTGCTCTGGTGAATACAGTTTGCGTGAATAGTACAAATAATCTAAACCAATAGAGTTGTTCTTGCTACTGTGTAACGAAACATGAGCTGAAAATTATTTGATTTTCTAAGCCTACTTATAAGTAGCTTTGTATTCTAGTCGAATATGGGAAAACATTAGAGAGAGGAGTTATGTTTTTTTTAAGTAGTTGCATTTAAAACTTGCTTTTTAACTCCATAACACACGGACAAGCTAGCTGTGATTTAAAACACAGGCACCATATTACGTTTTATTTAAATAACAAAGCAAAATCTCCTTACAAGAAAAAATATAGCTTTGAAGCTTCCAAGAAACTCATAAGCCTGTTTGTTTGTTTTGGAATTCGCGCAAAACTACACCACGGCTATCTGCGCTAGCCATCCCCAATTTAGCAATGTAAGACTAGAGGGAAGGCAGCTAGTCATCACCACCCACCACCTACTCTTGGGCTACTCTTTTAACAACGAATAGTGGGATTGACCGTCACATTATAACGCTCCCACGGCTGAAAGAGAGAGCATGTTTGGTAGGACGGGGATTCGATCCCGCAGATTGCGAGTCGAGCGCCCTAACCACCTGGCCATGCCGGGTCCCTAACTCATAAGTCAATAACTGTAATAGATTGTCCTTTTACCTGTTATAACGTTTTAAAATTTAAACAGAAGGTGATAGAAAGATTTGTATCTATTTTAGGTTATTTAGTGTCGTTGATTATTATTTCATACTTTTAGCATCACAGATGTATTGAGAGAATTTTAATCACGAGGCGGTTTTATTTATTTATTCAAGATTTCAGTCCAAAGTTTTACACTTTTAAAACCACAAAGAATTTGCAGGGTTTTTGTGCTCAAAGGAATTCTCAGAAGAAAATATTCAAACTAAAGATGACAATAATCTCTTTGTTATCACGTGTTGGACTTATTGAGAAGTTTGTGTAATTATGCTTTTATATTTAATTTAACGGAATATCAGTCGAAGATTGGTTAGATTGTGTTGAAGCCTAAAGTTGCACACTGGTCTATATGCGCTTTGCCAACCATGGATTTCGAAACCCGGTTTTATATCATTTAACTTATACAAATAGAAGCCTTTAAATAAAGATTTTATATCCTTTAACGTGCAGAAAGAGCATCCTTTATATAAAGGTTTTATATCCTTTAACTTGCACAAAGAGAATCATTTATATAATGGTTTTATATCCTTTAACTTGCACAAAGAGAATCCTTTATATAAAGGTTTTATATCTTTTAACTTGCACAAAGTGAATCCTTTAAATAAAGATTTTATATCCTTTAACTTGCAGAAAGAGCATTCTTTATATAAAGATTTTATATCCTTTAACTTGCACAAAGTGAATCCTTTAAATAAAGATCTTATATCCTTTAACTTGCACAAAATGAATCCTTTAAATAAAGATTTTATATCCTTTAACTTGCACAAAGAGAATCCTTTATATAAAGGTTTTATATCCTTTAACTTGCACAAAGTGAATCCTTTAAATAAAGATTTTATATCTTTAACTTGCACAAAGAGAATCCTTTATATAAAGGTTTTATATCCTTTAACTTGCACAAAGAGAATCCTTTATATAAATATTTTATATTCTTTAACTTGCACAAAGTGAATCCTTTAAAATAAAGATTTTATATGCTTTAACTTGCAGAAAGAGCATCCTTTATATAATGGTTTTATATCCTTTAACTTGCACAAAGTGAATCCTTTAAATAAAGATTTTATATCCTTTAACTTGCAGAAAGAGCATCCTTTATATAAAGGTTTTATATCCTTTAACTTGCACAAAGAGAATCCTTTATATTATGGTTTTATATCCTTTAACTTGCACAAAGTGAATCCTTTAAATAAAGATTTTATATCCTTTAACTTGCACAAAGTGAATCCTTTAAATAAAGATTTTATATCCTTTAACTTGCACAAAGTGTATCCTTTAAATATAGATTTTATATCCTTTAACTTGCACAAAGAGAATCCTTTATATAAAGATTTTATATTCTTTAACTTGCACAACATGAATCCTTTATATAAAGATTTTATATCCTTTAACTGAAGAAGAATGAACGAATTTGCTGATTTAAGATAGTAGAAATTATACTTTCTGTTTTCAACATTCTTTTTAAACAAGTGAAAGCATTTATATTTTTAAGGATTTTCATGTAGCAGGGCCGAAACATGTTATAAAACGTTTTTAAAAAACGTTAAGGAATAAATATGCAACCCACAAAATAAGACTGATAAATGTATAGACTAAAATTTTCAAATTGCCAAGTTTGTTTGTTTGTATTATAATTAAGCACGACTATCTGTGCTCTGTCCACCACGGGTATCGAAACCCGGTTTCTAGCGTTGTAAGTCCACAGACATACCGCTGTGCTACTCGGGGGCTCAAATTGCTAAGACCCAAAGGCTCATTCTCAATTCTTCACCAGTAAGGAAGTATAAATTTAAATCTTGAATAATTGTAAATAAAGTTTCTGGAACTAGATATGTGAGCTCATTGTGAAGTTTAACAAATTTTAAAAGAAAATAAAAAACAACATTGGCTTGATCAGGATTCAGACAACTGCGGCTTATATGAATGCTGTGATATGGATTCAGAGCTTGATTGTGAAATATTGCGAAATAAAGCCAATACAAAAGTCCAGTGAATGATAAAATAAAGCTAGGCATAATTAAATGTTCGTAGGTATTTCTTTGGCGTTTTTTTTTTTTAAGATTTGGACAACGCTATTTTTAATCAAGGACATAACAAAAAGAAATAGTGGTCCACGTTTTGTATGAATTAACTTATAAAATAAACTAGAGAAATTCGAGAGGAATTTGTCATCATTACACGTGTTGAGTATAGGCTCCACACGCATTCATTATGTTGTAAAATATTGTATGAATTATTCAGATCCAATCTAATCCTCGAGCTGGTTTTAGAATAAGATTATGTCATCCGTGAAAAAGTTTTTAATTTACACGGCATTGTTGAGAAATATGACGTTAAATATTGCTTCGTTTTCTTGTTGTCAAACAGGTGTCTGCAATGGTTGATGGATAACAACATTTTACAAATCTTTAAATAAATCTATTCATGAAAATTATATGTACTATTTTGAGAGCACTAAATATCACGAGTTTCACGCGGACGTAAAAGAAAAACAGAAGATAATGAATTATTTCAGTAGGTTTGGAATTGTAAGGAATCTTCCAGTAAAAGTTTTGCACTAAAAACTTGCGATATTTTATTGATAAATCAGATTTTGCACTTCAAAAATTATAAATATTTAGTATTGTATTTATAAGCGAATATTTGCATTTAAATCGTATTTAGATGATAATAAAAAAAATCTTAAAAATCATGATATTTTGGTACTCGACCAGACGAATGGTAAACAGTGCGAAAGGTTGTCATTTTCACTAAAAACGTGACTTCAAATTGAATGGTTTGGTTAATACTTTTGGTTGGACGCTTAGATTAAATTGATCTAAAAGTTAGATGAGAAAGACTTGGGAAGTATGAAATTTTGTATATTGTTAGCTTTGTCGAAATCTAACTGAATATGCAGTAATTAAATTATTATATATAGAAAGCTACACAATGAGCTATCTGTGCTCTGCCCATCACGGGTATCGAAACCCGGATTTTAGCGTTGTAAGTCCGCAGACATACCGCTGAGCCACTGGGGGCGGGGGTATAGAACAGCATTTTGGAAATAAGAGTACTTTGAAGACAAAGCGTACTTTTCAAACTTAAGTTAGTATTCTGTAAATAACTGAGTTGATTTGTATCTTATTTCAGTAAACCAAGTGGAGATTTTATAATATCTGTTTAAATGCAGAGAAGTCTTTATCAAAGGGTAGTCATATTTCTTGGGAAATCAGTAAAAGGTGCTGAAAAATTATCAATATTTCTGTCCTCACCTATGACAGTCAGCATTGTTTGAACAATGCTTTTTCCCTGGCTATTATTTGTCACACAATGGTAGTGTCCCTCATCTTCCACTTGGACGTCTTTTAACCACAATGTTCCTTCTACTTGCTGAACTCGTGGCTGAGAAGCCATCGGTATCCATTCCGAGTTTTTCACACGATACCAGCTATATGTTGGAGGCGGTTGCCCCTGTCCAGCGCAGGGAAGAACAGCGGTCTCCCCAACCTTCGCAGTCACTTGTGGTTTACTGTCCGTTATGGTAGGAGATATGCCTTCGTTTGGTTCTAAAAATGAAAAACAAAATGGGAATTAGTAAAAGCACTTTCTTTGTTCAATCCATAGGGTTTGACCTTTATGACTGACTCATCAATGAAAGGTTATTGGTACAGCCCATTACTTCAAAGGGAGGGGGGGAGGTTAGCAAGGATGCAGCATTTTGATAACCAGGGGAAATTACAGACAAATTAGCTAAAAGTGATTCAAAAGAAGAAGAAGAAAAACAACAATTTTGGATCACGTTGCCATGGAAACGGAATGTAAATAAAGACATTTAAGTTGAAAACCTTTATTTTTCTTAGCTTTTAAGGGTTTTCAGTTTAACTTGTGATGTATTTTGACATTTAAAGGGTATATGATACCTTAATCCTGAGGGAAATAATGCTGTAAGGCTAAACAAACTCCAGTAGAATTGACTGTGATTACGTCTGTGCAAGTACACACTGTGCTTTCCGTTTGTGACAATAAAGATTTTGTTCATTTATTCACATTTGTTGAGCCTCATTATTTCACACTTAAAGAAACTCAATCACGTTATCAAACACAGAAAACTATCCTAATTTTTGATCGAATCTCCTGTTATTTGAGGGTTTGCCTATCTGATACCTGAAAATACCATTTTGACACACGTTTTAGAATAGCAACAAGTTCACTTCTATTGGTAGTTTCTAAGCTTAACTTTTCCCCACACGAACAGTGACAAAATTCACTTATTACTTCTGACAGAATGTCTATAGCAACAAACCTGTTAGAACTTTGAACACAATCTTGTGTAATCTCTTCTTTTCTTTGGTGCGGACCCTTAAGAGAATTGGTAACTGGACTATGAGCACCAACAACTTGTGGCAACTCAAGTGGTTCATTTGTACTGTAACTAAGCTTACCAGTTTTCTTTTCACTCATTTGTTCGTTTCTGGTGAATCTGTTACCATTAAACTTCCTCTTCTTTGATTTATGAGGATCATGCTTTCTGTTACTCCTCAAATATTCCACGAGAATAAAGACTTTTCATGACAAGTTAGGATACAGTGTTAACAGATCTGTTGATATAGGCATTCTGTCAGAAGTAATAAGTGAATTTTGTCACTGTTTGTGTGGGGAAAAGTTAAGCTTAGAAACTACCAATAGAAGTGAACTTGTTGCTATTCTAAAACGTGTGTCAAAAGTGCTAACAGGTTTGTTGCTATAGACATTCTGTCAGAAGTAATAAGTGAATTTTGTCACTGTTCGTGTGGGGAAAAGTTAAGCTTAGAAACTACCAATAGAAGTGAACTTGTTGCTACTCTAAAACTTGTGTCAAAAGTGCTAACAGGTCTGTTGATATAGGCATTCTGTCAGAAGTAATGAGTGAATTTTGTCACTGTTCGTGTGGGGAAAAGTTAAGCTTAGAAACTACCAATAGAAGCGAACTTTTTGCTACTCTAAAACTTGTGTCCAAAGGAATGAACTGTCATAATGAGAAAGTTTATCATACAAGTAAAAAAAAGACTGGAAATAACTCGTTTGCTACTAAAAAACAATCTATGTATTATATGTCATGCATTAGGAGAGGTAGAACTGCGGGAGAATTGTTTTGTGATGTTATAAACATGAACCTACCAAGAACACGGAAGTCTTGGGACAAGCATTTCACATCTGTTTTGATTGTTTGTTTGTTTGAAGTTAAGCACAAAGCTACACAATGGGCTATCTGTGCTCTGCTCACCACGGGTATCGAAACCCCGATTTGTAGCGTTGTAAGTCCGCTGTGCCACTGTGTGCCATATCTGCTTTGAATGCCATTGAAACAGTTGCCAATGAAAGCATTAAAAAAGCTGCTGTAGATTTGCAAAAAGATGGCAAAGTTACTGAAACATCTGTGACGTGTGATGTACCTGGCAGAAACGGGGCTACTCTTCCTTATATGGTGTTGTTACTGTTCTTTCAAGGGAATCTGAGAAAGTCATAGACTGTGAACTGCTGAGTAGGTACTGTCATTCCTGCTCCTTCAATGGAACCGGTAGGTATGGTGAGGATATTTCAAACTATGACAGTACCGTGCCTTCAATGGAACCGGTAGGTATGGTGAGGATATTTCAAACTATGACAGTACCGTGCCTTCAATGGAACCGGTAGGTATGGTGAGGATATTTCAAACTATGACAGTACCGTGCCTTCAATGGAACCGGTAGGTATGG